CATTTCCTGGATCAAAACTTCAGCCTCCTTGCACGAAGATTATTTGTTAGTGTCTTTGGAAGTTTTGGTCACACTACACAGTGTTTCTGCTGTTGGGTGTTCCCTCAGCATGGGACAGTGTGGGCACAACTCGGTGCTCTACAACAGCCGCTTCAGCAGCAGCTGCCTCGTGTTCCGATACTGCGGGGTACAGCGCACAGCCCAGACACAGCCCAGACACCGGGACAGCACAGATGTACGGGGGAGCATCTCCTGTGCCCGCCTACAGCCGCACTGGTGACAGGGAGGCGGCAGAGGTGGGCAGCAATGGGGTACATGCCTGAKCCCCTGGCATCCCGCTGTCAGCACCGGGAGCTCGGGACAGCGAAGGTTCGGCCGCCCGCGCCCCTGCCGAGCCGGAGGTACCTGCGGGGCTGTTGAAGTCATCGTTGGGGTTCTTCTCCTGCAGCACCCGCAGGGCCTCCTGGTAGCAGGGGCTGTCGGGGTCCCTGCCCAGGGTGCTCAGGTCGTAGGTGTCGAGCACGACGAGGCGGAGCCCTGCGGCCAGGCTGCAGTGATAGGCGTGACAGTGCCTGTCCGGGGGTCCGTCCGAGCCCCCCGCGGGGCGGCTGTACAGCCCGGTGTGCACCAGCTGGGCCCGGCTGAAGTTGTAGAGCTCGTGGTTGCCCCAAGCGTGGTGCACCGGCACCGGCAGCTGCCCCAGGACASCCAGCACTTGCTGCAAGGCGCTCTCGGCCTCGCCGCGCCGTGCGTTCTGCCCGTCGATGCTGTCGCCCAGCTGCAGCACGCAGTCTATCGGCGGGCTCTCGCCGGCCCACGCCCGCACCGCCTCCCGCAGCAGGCGCAGGCTGTGCCGATAGTAGCGCCGCCGGCTGCCGCCGAAGTCGTGCCCGTCTTCCGCGTCCGCGAACTGGATGTCGGCAATAACCCCAAAGGCGACGCGCGGCGCCACCTCCATGGCGGCCGCGGGCGGGGCGGAAGGGGCGGCGCGGCCAGCGGGAACATGGCGGGGGCGGCGGAGCTGTGGCG